ATTAAGACTTCTTAGAAATCGTTAAATTATTGTAAAATTACTTTACGATTTCTTATCATAGACAACAGTATAGTAATTTGTATTTGTCTAATAAAACAATAAATGAAAAAAAGATTCAGTTCAAACTTTCTGAAATAATTAAGTCAGCTTCACTATCACATCTTGCTCATATAAAATTTCTGTTTTCAGCTCGAAAGAAAAGCAATTTTAGATTTACTTTTATTTCAAATGGAGATTATAATGCTTTAAAATAATTTACATAATCCATTATACTAGTAAGAATCTAATCAGTATTATTGATTTTTAAACTGACTTTTTAGTAGTTCATATAATGCACTCTATTGTTATTGATTGCTATATTTTCCATCAAAAGAGTCAAATGTATTTGAGCAATAATATTTTATATTCAAATCTTTGAAAAGTCAGAATCTGAATGAAATTTTCACTTTTCATGATCATTTTGTTGCCACAATTTGTCCATTATTATTTTATTTGTATTATTACTATAATTACTGATTTCAGTGTATGAGTCAAGTTGCTGTCATCATTCTGAAAATCGTTAAATTATTTATTTGAGTGCTCTTCCTTAGTACCTGTCATACAGCTAATAAATCACATGATGTAATAAGTCAAAAAGTGATTTCATGCTCCAACATTTAAAATAGTTTGTTTCAAGACAAATTATCTTACATACTCATAAAAAACAGCTAAATAAGTTTCATATTACTTATTTATATGCTTACAATATTGCTCTGTAGAATGCACTATTAAATCTTTTGAATAGTTGCACTCAAAAATATTCTATCAAAGATTACTTACTAATTTAAATCTATATTTTTAACTTGATATTTATTCAATAATCTGACAATAATATCACTTGTATGTATTTTTCAGAATGGATGCAATTCTATAATACAGTACGAAAATTCAGTCATTAACTGCATAAATGGCATACTGTAAGAGTAATCATATGAAACCAGATTAGATGTCCCATGTGCCGCTTGTTTCATCCTACTACAATATCCCTGTTGATAGATATTATGTAGCTCAAAGAAGACGTGCAACTTTCAGTTGGTGCAACCTGTTATGTTGTTGTCTACAAAATGTTAGTTTGCAATTTTTTTTTCGTACGATATAAAAATTCAAAAAAAAAAAAATAGCGAAATTTTTTGATAACAGCGTATTAACTCAGTACATGTAATTAATATATTTTCTGTGCTCGTAAAATAGTCAGTCACGAAAGGCATAATAACAAAGCTATAATTACGACTTTGACTGTAGAATTAATTGATTATGGTGAGAAAATTTGAAGAAGATTCAAGTTTTGAGCAGTTATTGAAAGCTCTTCTGGTTATGAATAGCAAAGTCGAAGAATAATGAAATTTTGTTTAAGTGATCAGTGGATTGATATGCATTATTAGTTTAAATTGCAATAAATGTTTATAAAAACCAAATCTTGCAAAAATTAATCTTTAATTAAATATGTACATTAAATTTTCTTCCCTTCAGTACATGTGAATTTTATCTTTGCACAATTTTTATAATTTTTTTCTTACCGTAACATTGACAAAAATTTTGTACGAATAACAAGTACGCAATTTCGTATAAATTTTCCACTAATATCAGTAGCAATGAAAAAATACTACTTATTACTTTTGCTTATGTAACAAAAAAAAATGCTGATCAATTCGAAATTTTTTTGTGACAAATTTTCATTAAGTAAATTGTTGCTTATCAAAAAGAAATTTTAAACTTTCAAAAATCTTTCGAAGATGTGGTCAAAGTTTCAAATCTACAACTCATCTTAACTATCACCATTTTTTTTAAATTTCATTTCCTATTTTCCGAGGCAAGCAAGACAAAGTTTAGTTTCGTATTTTCTGCATAGATGAGGGTGGTATATCATTAATTCAGTACACATGCACATTATGTATATGAATGACTGCAGGTGTATGTGACTAAAGATGAAGCTATTGCATTCATGCATATGCACGTGCAGGACGTGAGTCTATTTGCGTATCTAGACACGTCTTTAAGGGTGTGTATGCACGCGTATGTACCCATATGTTAATGTGTATTTAAATGTATTCTTGATCTCATATATGAGTGTTGCTTTATTTAGTGGAAATAGTAGTCTAGTAGTGTAGTAAGTTAAATGTTCACATATGGCCAGTTTGGTGAAGCGTTGAAAATGTGACTAATCAATAATAGCATGAAGGGTAAAGAGTAATAAGTAGAAGAGGAAGCAAAATGAGTCTAGCAAGAATGCACAGAGAAAGAGCCTAAAATGGTTGCATATTTGGTGGAGAAGATTTGTTCCTCTTTTCATAAATTTTGAGAAAGTAAATGAGTCGGTCGGATTTTATATCGGCTTCAAAGTTGTAACCATAGATGGTAGTAGTTTTCATACAAATAAGTTTCTTTTTTTTTCTTTATTAATAACATTTACCAAATCAGCACAGTGTGAAATGTCAATGAGAGAAGTTAGCAAGCGAGAAGCAAGTAAGTAAGTAAGTAAGCAAGAAGTAAGTAAGCAAGAAGTAAGTAAGCAAGAAGTAAGTAAGCAAGTAAGTAAGTAAGCAAGTAAGTAAATAAGTCGATTGAGGATTATGACCAAGAAAAGTGGAGCCAAGAAATATTTGACACTATTACTACCCTAGTTTTTTATGTCTGCTTATTTGTATGTGTATGTACATTTAATATGTATATCTGACTACAGTTGTAATTCTTTCTGTTTTGTATAAGTTTGAAGTTTTTTTGACTACAAGTATTTGTTATGAGACTAAGTTTGTAAATTTATTAGATCAGTGAATAATAAGTAATCTGTTTGCAAAGAATCATTTAATAAAAATATTCGCATTTTATAAATGAAAGTGAAAGTTTTCATTTAATTTACTTTTCGTTGCTTTTTGCGCAAAATAATTTATCTCCTCATTTATTTGAATGAATTTGTTGGAACTATAATGATATAATTACATTTATCATAGTTATTAAAAATGACTATTTCCATTTTTAATGATCATTATTTGCTTGCAAATGTAAAAATTATTAAATGATTTATTATTGTTGTTAGCATAATTTGTTAGCTGTAATGTAAAGATTAGTGTCGTTTGTGTGGGTACTAAAGATGCTTTTACTGTCTTACTGCTTGCTATTTCTACCTCAACAGCTAGCATTGAAAGCATTCTATGTCGACAGTATCAATTTTTCTGTTGTAATAGTAATTTAAAGATTTTTCGTATTATTTTCCGATTATTGTAGAAACGGATCAATTCTATGCCCTGGAATCCATCACAGCAACAGCAACAACAACTTAAATCAGTTGATCGACATTCAGGTTTTTTGAAACTGAATTTCATTTAATATTATATTAAATCATTTTTAACATTAAATAAGCCGCAAAACAACTAAAGATTTTTCTGAAAATTTATTAATTATTATTATCATCATTATTAAAGCAGTCTTTATGACTGCTTCTCTCTATCATATCATTGCTGTCTTAAATAATTTCATATGACATTTTACTAAATCATAGCAAGGATAATACAAAGAGTAAAACTGATAACATTTATGGAAGCCTAAAAATGTACTAATCATCAAAAACTCTTCATTGTTGATTAAATCAAACAGTAAACTAATTGATAGCATTTTATGAAGTAGACTTTCATTTTCTAAAACAGCACTGAAAAAAATATATACGTTATGTTCACAAATTGTATAAAAATGCTATTAAGCTGAATATAACCGTAGCTAATTTATTACATCGCTTCTTCATTTTTTAAATGTTAAAAGATCTTTTGAAGATAAGTAGTTTAATATTTTCTATAATTTCACATTTATACAAAACAGCTATTTCTAATAAAATATATCTTTTCTGGATGCCAATGCAACGCCAAATTATTTATCTCAAAATAGTCACACGTCTGCTCAACTTTTCGCTCAGCACTTTCGTCGTTTCGTACTTTTTACCAGTCGTAAATCCCTTTCTTTTCATCTTTCAAATTTACTGTATTCCTCCTCTTGCATTCATGGAGATAGTGCGTGATTAATTCATTTTGCTTTTTCATTTCATTGATCTTTTCAAGGACGAAAATGTAATCCTTTAAATTTTAAATGCTTTGTAAGTTCTTTGCTAACCAAATTATAATCTAACTAAGCTACTTTGTTTCTAAAAAACCAGCTAAAAATACGAAAAATAAAATTAGAATCATATCTGACAAAATGATATTTGATAATGCATGATTTTGTTCTACGTGAATCCATTCTTTATAATATTTACTTAAATAGCAATTTATTCATATTTATTAAAAACATAAAAAACAAATAAAACTTACAGAAAATTTATAGATCAACATTACGCGAAATAAACCTGTCAACATGAAGAAAATTTTATCAGTGACACATATTTGATATATATCATGTTGTGAAGATTTTGGCTAGGAATACTACCAATTATTTATTTAAGACAAAATTGCTATTTTTTTCATTAAAATTAAAAGCAGAGAAGAAAAGTGCTGAAAACAACCCACTCATATTTATAGTCATATTGTAAAATTGAAGAAAAAATTTTTGCACAAAACAGTCTCATGGGAGCTTTTCTTCTCATTTCTTAAATCTATTGAAAATTTCAAGCAAATTTTTTCATTGAATACACGTTCTTATTCTTAGCATTTTTTGAACTAATTTCTCAAATATTTTTGAGAATGAGAATAAATCTTCGTTGTTCTCATTAACATTAATAGCAATAATAATAATACTGTTGAATATAATATTGACTAAATCCATGTTTGGTAAAAATAATATCTATAGCAATTACTGGCGGACATTCATTGAAAATATTATAATCGGAAACAAAGTAATTTTTCTAATACAGTATGCAATGTAATACAAAATGTTGTGAACAATGTACAAGAGGTGGAATATAAAGTATCATTAGTGCTTGCGGATGATTGATATTTATGGAAGTAATTTTCAGTCAGTAAATATCATCGAAAATTTTCATGCTGAAGTTTTCACGTTTTACAAATCATAATTACAATCTTTTTTTCATTTCAGGATGTTCCCTACCAGAAGAAATTGTGCGGAAAATTCATCAGGTAGATCAGCAAAGTTCCACACTTACGACAGCGGGTATTACAGGTTTTTCAGCGCGCATCCTCGACAAGTAAGTAAGGAGAGACGATTTTAACATATATATTGTAAACAGTAATTTTGATGAAAATATCATCATTGTAAAGGATTTATAAATTATTAATTGAGTGTTTAATGGATCAAAAAAATTGCATTTAAATTTTGTATTAAATATTAAAAATAGCAATGTTTATTTGTCATACATTTAGTAAAGCTTGATAAAAATTAAGCGATAATTAATGGTATACTAGTGATGTAATATTCGTTTTAATTTATGTGTAAGTAATAATCTTGTGTTTTTGTTTTTATTCTCTTTAAACTGAAAAACTGGATCATTTTTCCTTCAATTAATCCTTTTTTTTCTATTTTCATGCGTTGAAATTTTCAAGGCTTTAAAATATTTAGTTTTGTCTGTTCTTCGAAATGAAAAAGCATTGGAGAAAAAAGTAGTGTAACTTTTCATTTATCAGTAAAAATTTTAATTAATAGGTCAGAATATCGACTAGAAAAAAGAGGAGCTGCTGGTGTAGGCGATATCGTTGTTGTTCAGTTGGTTGAGATTATAAAAAAACCTGGACAAAGTCTTGGCTTATATCTTCGAGAGGGAAACGGAACAGACAGGCAGTTTATTCATTTAGTTGATTATGATACTATCTGCTAATTCTATTAGAAAGTTCTGTTTGTTTAGTTTATTCATCTGAAAAACTTCGATTTCATCTGCAGCATTTCAATAAATTTTTAAGTTAATTAGATATTTTTACATATTTGAACATTAATAGAACTGCATCAAAGGAAATGTTTTTTACCAATTCTTTAAACTCTTTGCAACGACATAAAAATGAGTAGTTATTTTCAGAACATCAGGAGTCTTTGCTTCTCGTTTTGGAGAAAATTCAGAACTTGAACGATATGGTGATATTGTTCGTCCAGGAGATGAAATTCTATCCGTTAACAACGTAGACGTTTCTGCAATGAGCATCGATGATGTAGTACTGGTACTTTCGATACCACGTCGTCTTTTGCTCAGGATACGTTATATTAAGAACAGAAGGTACTCTCTACATGATTCTTTAAATACAAAAAATCTTTTTTCATTCAATCGACAATTTTTTGTTTCAAAAACTTTCAATACTGTTCGTTCATTCTGATCGAAATCCTTTGCTATTTGTTTTGTTTAGAGCATTCATTTTTTGATTAGTTACTAAACTGGAAGATCATTGTAATATAGTAGTAGTAGTATCTTGTAATATCATTCATTCATTAATTTTCTATTATCGTTGTTAAGCAAAAAGTTTTTTCAAAGTATTTATTATTTATTCAAATTTTGTTAAGATTGTCTTGTATTTAAACGGTAGTTAGATTTCTAATTGACTTCTAGAAGTTAACTTGTGGCATCTATCACATGATAACTTATATATATTACATTCTAAAGTAAAGAATTGCACATGCTGATTAAGCTTTCTCACAACTAGATAATTCTAGGGAGAGAATGACCCAATCTCAGTCAATGGTTACACGGCCAGTAGTAGTCTTCCAGAAGAGTGATCAAGAACAACAGGATGACACGTCAACTTCATCCCTGCTGAATCACCCAACTTCAACTGCTAATACGTGGCTTGGAAAGAAAGCTCGTCAACAACAGGTTTATCTAATTATATAAGTTATGAAAACCGAAATATCTTTGTAAGCTATTAAACGAAATTTGATATTTCAAGTGATAATTGAATCCTTGCATGAGAATTGCAAATTTGCAAATGTCGAGAAAAGTGCTCAGTTTTATTTTTATTTTTATTTTTCATTTATTACTTACAGCTTCCTTTGAACAATTTATCGTTAAATTTCTAATATTACGCTTTCTAAATTTTAGTCATCAATTTTTTTTTTGAGCTACTTTGATTTTCTATGCCTTTTTTACTACGACATATAAGATTCTTATAAGTCAGTTTGGATGTCGAATTTAGACATGTATTTTTATAACTCAATATACTTTGAGAGAGCATTTTGAGGTACATAAGTGCTAATTCAAAAAATAGTAATTTTTCATAATGAAAATATAGTATGCTTTCTCATATTTTAAATTTCCTCTTAAAGTTTCACGTTTACACTTTTAATAAAGTCTAAAGATCACTTCATTTGCAAATATTTTCTTGCCTTGTTAATACGCCTAATTTTTTCTTCAAGAGATGGAATTATAGCTTTGATTCGAAACTGGATCTTCGATCGAAATTACTTTTGTGTTATGTAATGTGGCAAAATTATTTTACTGACATGGATTTTAATAACACAATTTTTATGTATCTGTATTATATATATATATATATAAGAAAAAATAAGAGTCAAGCATGTGCTTGTGTTTCTTCATGTACTTTTAAATTAAAACCTTTTAAAATATTGCTTGATGAATAACAGGAAATTAAAATGTTATAAGGTACAAGAAAAAGGCAGGAAACTATGTGTCTGTAATTACCTTTAGTAGTAATATAGGTTCACATATTCAAACTATATCAATCTGCTGATATTCTGTTATGGTTTGCAGTGTAGAGAAATATTATTGAATCTATGAACTCTCATGATATATTCCTACGAGGCCCATTTGCCAGGGAACAAGCAAGTACTCGAGAAGCGGACGGCAACAGTCCTATAAAACACTATCAAATCTGATTCATCTCAGACATTTTCATCATGCTTTCCATTTCCACTTCAAACTTTTCACTTGAAAATTTTTTACTTCACTAATAGGGCTTCAATTTGCCATCTACATCACATCTTCATCTTGTTATATTGGTATCTGTTTATTCCATTGTTTGTAACAGGCATTTGCAAAACTTATACCGTAGTAGTCATAATATCACGTAATACATTCTGTTATACTGTTAAAATAGTAGTATTATGATTAGTAATGATAATAATAACAATAATAATAATATTATCATTATTACTATCATTATTATTATTATTATTATTATTATTATTATTATTAACGATATTATAGGTATGCAAACTATTTTCCGTTAGCTCCAGTGAAATGGTCTCAAAATCGTCGTTCTAATCTCTAGCTTTATTTTTATTTTATTTTCCTTTTGACTGTTCGTTGGAATCATTATCTTGTCGATCATTTATTATGACAACTGATTTCCTTTTTATTTGTTCATATTTTAATGAAGATATAATGAAATGCCAATAATTCAGAGTACTTGAAACAGGTAGTTTTAAAAAAGTCATTCATCGCTCAATTTCTTATTAAAGCTGTTCTATTTATGTATATGTTTGGTACTATGTCATAATGTCACCAAATGTGGTACTATGTACCAAACATATACATAAAAAATTTCAGTATTAAGTAAAAAATTTTACTTAATACTGCCACATTTGGTGACAGTAATATGTCGGTTATGAATATCACATTTAAACAGTCTCTGTAAAATAAGTATGAAGTGAAATTTTTAGGAAATGGTGAAGCGCTGTCCTCAACCGTCTTCTTCGGTCTCTTCAGCGATACCTCCTGCTGTCACAAATGTGCAAACCAGGTTAACACTTAGTCCTCGTCAACACCATACCATCGCTTACCCATCTCGTTTCTTAAATTGCCCGGTGGAACCAGTGGAGGAAACCGTTTCACGGACTGCACGTGTGCCACCACCTAAAATATTGCCTTCCGCGGTACGTCGCGCTGACAGTTTTATCGTTGCTCAATCATCCACTCAGGTAATCCAAATTACCTGTTGTGCACTGTTGACACTATTTGAGTATTAGTAAACTTCGAATTACTTTCTTCATATAAGTCTGTGTAAGATTTTTCATTTGCTTTTTCACTCAAATCAACGGGTCAAATGTGTTGTAGATGTTACCTTCCTCGTACACTTGTTCAATGCCTCGATCATTTACTCAACGCTCCATACCGCTGCCATCATTCCCAGGACCATCAACGGCTCCAGACAGCAATCCTCAGGCTTCATCTGATGCTTATGATGGTTGCTCGGAAAATTTCGCTTTTTCGCAGTTTCATGTACCCTCCAGTGCATCACGTCAACTTCCCATAGGTCAGCGTTCCCTTAGTGACGTAGCTGGTTACGCTATGCATCGTTCGCTTTGCTCTCCCCCGGAAGCTGTCGATAGAAAATATGTATATCGTATTCAAGCAGCTCCATCGTCGCCATCCACTGCAGCGGCTTGGCATCCCATTGATCAACCAAATAAAAGTAATTCATTGCCCCGTCGACGTGCAACTTCCAGCACTACACCTCGAACTGTGAAATGGAGGAATGATGTCATTGGTGGCACAAGTATGCATCCACTCTGTTCTGGTTAAAGTCTGAAACTTGAATACAAATATACGATCTAGAAAGGCAAAATAAATCATTAAAATTATGATGAGTGAAAGCTGGATGCTATAATTAAAAGTCTGCTGTTTGTTCAGTTTTTTGGAATGATAAGTTAGATAGTCATTAATAGATACTTAAGAAGACGAATATCCATAAATATACTGTGTAAACGTGGTAACCAGTACTGATTATGGAAACTGTTGAATTATGTTGAAATAATAAATACCAAATTTTTCCCCTTACAGAGGAATTTATGATATTATGTTTTTTTCCGATTGGGTATGAGTGCGTTTCAGATTTTCCAGGTTAAGATGTTACAGGTAATGAATCGGATGGAGCAATATCAGCACCTGAAACAATGTTATCACCATCATTTATCGGCTCATACCTCAAACAACAAGGTATGTCAAGTAAATTTGAGTTTTGAAAAGCTTTTGTTTCTCCTGTTTTTTTTTCTTCAAAAATTTAGGTTTTTTCGAGATAGTGTCTTAGAAATGAAAATTCAGAAGGGAAAATCGAAAATTTAAATTTGTCTCATACATCTGATTTGTTTTTTATCAGTACATCTTTGTGCTGTTATGACTATAGTATTTATTATTTTCATTATAACAATTATACTAACTTTTAAACTACATGCGTTTTCACTGTTCACTTTGCAAGTTTCTAACGGTTATCCATAAAAAGCTGCTTCATCACTTTCTTTACCCATCGTAACTGTCTCTTTTTCTGTTGCCTCACACTTGCTTATTGTAAATTATATATTTTAGATACTCGATTACCCCTTGGTCTCGGTAATATCAGCGCGCAGTATGGACGGACTATCGATGATATATTTTCAGCTCAGGAATATCGAAACTGGGCTGGAATTGACGTAGGCATGAAGTCGCAAGAAAGGCATTCTAGATGGTCTCATACATATGGGGAGAAACCAGGTGCTTCCAATCGAAGTTCATCGCTTCCATCCAGGGCTATATTAAATTCTGTTTGTTTTCCTCTTTCAAACTAGACAAAAAAAAGTTATCCAAAATGATCTAAAAATTAATTTAGTTTCTATTTCATTTGTCACTCTTGTCAATATAGTGCAGTGTAGAATTACTGACTAGAAATAATTAATTTTAATTAATTTTTTATATTTAAAATCATTCAGAAGAATAAGGTTAAATATTTCAATGCTTCAAATATTAATCGTGGTCCTAAAATATGCAAGTTTAGGCTAACAGGTTTTCACTTGGCCATGAACGAGGTGACTTATTAGATAAGTTGCACGTATCGCCTTTAATGAACAGAAGAGTGCCGTTAAAAGCAGCTGGTCCTGGTTTTGATGTAGATACTCCTTTACATGTTACTTCACTCACTGGATTGCTTGTTGTTCAGGTATTAACTTCAAGATTTCATACAGCGATTTATTCATGAAATTTTTTTTAAATTATGAAAATTACATTGTATTTCGTATTCGATTCCAGTCAAGTGTAGCACTTCGCTTCACGAGTTCCAAACAGAACTCCAGAAATATCAGTGATACTTTATTTCATGTAATTTTTTATCATTTCAGCCATTTCTCGATTTCTAAAAAATATACTAGCATCAATACAAGTTGGATGTTATATTATTCGTTTGATCGTTTTGTATTTTCTGATATTCGACTATAAAAAACAATTTTTGCTTTTCAAATGCTTAAAATTTTATGGTCTACCAAATTTTTTTTAGATCATCGAAGGACGAGGGTTAAAAATGCCTGAAAAGCAAAAAGCATTTACTGAAGAGATGTACTGCGTGCTAGAGGTCAATGAAACGCATCGTGCAAGAACGGGTGTTTCTACGGCTGAACAAAAATTTCGGTGGCGTGAAACGTTTGAAATTGACGTGCAGCATGCGACTCATACAAATTTTTTCGTTTATTCATGGCATCCACAATATCGGTGAAGATTTTTTAAGAATTCAGTAATAATTGGCACTGATTCTTTCATTACTCAGATATCAAATAGACTCTCAATAGTACATACTTTATTTAGACATAAATTGTGTCATAGAGGATCACTGAAGTTATTAGAAGCATTTATTGTGGATCGTTTGAATGGTAATCGAATGTTTGCATTAAATTTGGAACCAAAAGGTCAACTTATTGTTAAAATCGCTTTTCATAATGTTGCCGTGGCTTTTCGAAGGACCGTTAACTGCAGGTTTAGTTTTATAATTATTAATTATATTGCAGTCTATTTTAATGATTTCTTGTAAAGAATTTAACTAACAGTTTGGATAACTGGAGAATCGTTGATGAGTTCCAACTTAATGTCCGTAACAATCTAATTAATTACTGCAGGTATGATGGTGTATTTGGGGTGCCGTTGCAGCGGTTGGTTGCGAAAGAAGGACGGGAAACACCTTTAGTACTTTCTCGTTTATTACAGGAAATTGAACTGCGTGGTGTTAATCACTCTGGTCTTTATATTTGTAAGTTTTTTTTTTCAAAAACTCGTTTCAGACACATTTTTTAAATAGAACACAGAATGTAGCTATTCTTTAGAAATATTTAAAAGTATTGTTTTGTGCTTGATATGCATACAAGTGTATCATGGGAAAAAAATTTTGAGTAATAAATTTGATGTTTTTACTTTGATACGCTATTTTAGTGTGTGGGTCTCTAGAAAAAAAACGTATTTTGCGTGAAGAACTGGAGTTAAGTGTGGAAAGAGCGCAATTAAGTGTGGATGCAGTTCCGGATACTAACGTATTGACATGTCTAGTGAAAGACTTCTTACGTGAGTTACCAGAACCACTGATATCAACCTCCATATACTGTATGATTGTAGAAGCATTCTCCGTCGCATTACCCAATGATCCACAAGGAAATCGTCGTTTGCTATTAAGGGTCATTGACTGCCTGCCTACACCTAATAAGGTAAAATTAGTATTAAATTTTCATTACTAAAAAATGTGAAATCGCACATAATTTCCAAATCTATTTCTTACCATTTGAGCTTCCATTTTCGTGAAAATGCCGCAATACTTTAGGTTATCAACTGTATAGTGAAAATATTTTGACTGGAAGTGTATTCATTTCACAAGTTCGTTGCCCTGTTAGCCGATTAATGAGCAACACTTCTGTAGAAAGTAGCACACAGTTGATTTTGCAGAACACACTAATACAAATAATGGATCATTTGAAAATGGTGATGAATTCCGAGCAACACAATGGAATTACCACAGCTCGTTTAACTGGCATCTTTGGTTGTCTGCTTTTTTGTTCCTGCGATTTGCCGGTTGATATTAGTACTAAAAGTAGTGGTGGTGCGTACCCAACAAAACCAACCATCAATCCTTTAGACACAGATCAAGCTGCTCGTACATTCAGCCTACTTTTTGACATTTGGCCAAGCCGAGTTAGTAAGTCTGTCAACTATTATTCCTGAACCGTTTATGTAGTCCGCAGATTCATCATCAAAGAATTCCATTGACTTTTGACGAGGATGGCAATGGTCAAATTCTTGAGTTTTCAAGTGTTTTCAATAAATTTCGAACTTTATCAAAAATATCTAAAATAAATCTTTATTGAATTAAGCAAAGAGAATTGTAGAAGAGTAATGTTTAATTCCTTCTGCTAAATAATTTCTTAACTTCACTTATTACTTGTGCATAATCTTTGGATATTTTTTCATTGAATTAAATAATGTAATGTAAATAATAGATGAAAGCGAAAGTTCTGGTTCTGCCAGCAGCAGTGCAGACGCAACGACGAACGCCACCAATCTAATATCAGAGTCTCAGTGTTGATTGAAAAGTTAACAGTTGTTAAGTCGTCCTCGTAAATATATCGAAATTGTTATTATAATTGTGTACCTGCTCTCCTTATTCATAAGTATGTCAGTACTGTGCTTTCTACAGTAATTTTATAATCATTGTCATGTAATTGCATTATATTCCTCACTATATTACTTAGTCAGGGTCAAAAGTGTAATATAATGACTATTACCGCTAAAAATGACTGACTAAGTGAGTATTTCAATATTTCATTATTCATAATGAATCTTTCTGAGCTTTATAGCATCATATTATTGGGATCGACTATGCTCTCATTACTGCCATTACTAAATTAAGTGTTAGTATTGTTTGTTTTTTTCTTTTTTGATATCGAGTGATTTATTGATTTTTCACGTTTGATTAATCAATAACTCACTGATTACTACTTGGAATAATACTTTGATGTAATAACAATTGTTCACCTAAACTGCCTATCGTTATAAGCCTATGTTTCACGGAATTTACTACTCATATAAATGGTGCCAAAAAACTTTGTTGTATTCATTACTACTCCCAGTCATCCTTCACCCATATTTTTCTTAGCGCATGTAATGACCATTTCAATTGTGATTGTTTATATTCAATCTTATAGCACATTTAAACATCTACAATCTAATTAAGTATATGTAAGCTAAACTTTTGTTTGGTGAACTGAATGCATAAAGATGTATTTTAAGAAGCCAATTTGAATTACAATGTATTGATTTAGTTTTACTTTGCGAGAAACTTCTGACAATCATTGCACAGACATAAATTGTAAATATGGCTGGATTTCCGGTAAACACTTCAGCACTAAATATATAGCTAAAGACCTTCTTAATTGGATCGTATGAGTAGCGACAATGCCAAGCCCAATTGCGAAGTATCTGAAAGTAAAAAACGGCCATAATTAAACACTT